TTATAATTGAATCTATTGAAAGAGTTATGTTTCAAACTGAATAGAAATGTGCTTGTAACTGAATGAATCTTTTCTTGTAACTGAACAGAACTCAGCCTCTAACCTAGCCAATTAATAACCGTTAAATTATCTTGGTGTAATTAATGATGATATATGCTTGTAACTGAACAGTGATATGCTTGTACCTGAACGATTCTATGCTTATAACTAAATGGAACTCATCTTGTAACCAAACTAGCGGATGACTAAAGCTCATTATTTTTAATAACACAGATGATGTTTGTACGTAAACGGAGATATGATTGTAAATGAACGGGCCTCTGCTTGTCACTAAACGGAACTCTACTTGTAACTGAAATAGTCATTGATACTGTGTATTTTGCTTGTAACTAAATAGAGACATCCTTGTAACTGAACATACCGGCTTGCAATTGATTGAGTCCCTACGCGTAACTGAACGAAATACTACTCTCACAACCTTTTAGTTCTCTACTTGTAACGAAACAAAGATATGCTTGTAACTTAATGAGTCTGTATTTGAAACTGAAGGGAACTTTGCTCGTAACCGAACTAGTCAATGACTTGATTCAATAAATAGAGGTATGCTTATAACTGAATAAAGAGATACTTGTAACTAAAATGGTCCCTCTTTATAATTGAATGGAATTCTACTTGTTACTTGGACTTAGATTTTGTGAGCTAAATATTTAATTAAAAAAAATTTATTACTAACCAATTTGTAACCGACAAAAATAAGTCATAAATTAGTGACATTTTTTGTAACCGCTTAAGTTGGGTCACTAATTAGTGATCGTAATAAAGGATCATTTGCTCAAGTAGTGACCTCAATGATAACTGCTTATAAAAAGGTTACTAATTAGTGATCCTTTTTATAATTGTCAAAATCGGGGTTAGTGATTAATGACCCATTTCTAATGGCCAAAATGGAGATTACTAATCAGTGACTAACTTTAAAGCCTACGCCTAAATTAGTAACCCTTTTTGTAACCATTAAGAGAGGGTCACTAATTAATAACTCACTTTGTAACTGATTTAAATGCAGTCACTAATTAGTGACTTTTTAATAATTAAAATAGTAGTTGTCGCTAATTTTGTGACTAATTTATGACTGAAGCAACTACAATCATAAAATCGATCGTAAATTAGTCACAAATTAATTATTATTTTTTTAAAAAAAATTAGAGTGAGCTAATCACTAATAAATTACTAATTAATCATTAATTAGTACTTTCACGTGGTTCCTAAGCTATCACTAATTATGTTATTTCTGACAGTGAAGAGGTGAGAGACTTTGAGAGAGTTAAGCAATTTATTCCATTCCTTTCCGCGCTTGACATTGTCGGCCGCCAAGAAGAGAGAAACAGCACTCAAACCAACGACATTTCTCTCCCTGCCTTCAACTAATGAATTATTAATAAACATGTCCCTTGACTGATTCAAATTCAGAAATTAAAACTCAACCCAAACTTTTGGTTTGAAAGTTTTCTCAAATAAAAAAATTAGGAAAAATTGAATTACAATTTTCAAAACATCAAACTTATCAATTCAATTTAAATTTAAATTATTCTTTACCCTTTTAAAATTTAAGATCAAAGTTAATATTTTAAATTTATAAGGTAAATTTAAAATAAAATATTTATAAAATTTATTAATATATAAAATATATATCTGTTTTTGTCAAGTTTAAATTTTTAATATAAAGTAAAATAGAGAAAAAGAAAATTCAACTATTTCGGGGTCAGTATTCAAACCCATATTGCGTACTCCCAGTGGCAAGCTTACGACTAGGATGTGATGTATTGAATTTGAGAAGCTGGCGGTATTATTACGACAAGCTTACGACTGGCATTGTCCCACAGGACCTGGCCAAACGCATATGACATTTTCACGTACGTCTGCGTGTCAATAAACACTTTGACTAGCCATACAAATTATATTTATGCAATCAACTCTAGCTTTGGCGGCCACGTTTGTCACCTTTTTCTCTTCTTCTTTTTTTATAATTAACTAAATTACTTGCCGAGACTATTCTCGTCTTAAATTTTCGACTGGCCCTCTTGGCCGGGGACGACTGGACAGAGATGAAATAATTTCTACGGTGCTCTCTTGTTGGAGCACCATTGATTGTTTGGACTGATTGATTAATAGGGTAGACTTTCTTTTTTAGAAAATAAATTAAATGTAATTTTTACTCATTACAAATGAGGTAGAGTTGAATTTAGTGTGAAAGGTTTTGCATGAATTTGAACGAGTATTCAAAATAATTTGATTGGACACATAAAAACTACTTTTTTAGGACAGAATATTTTTTTTTAATTACTGAAGGTCATTTTTGCCCTTGCAAAATGTGTTATTTTCCTATTTCAACATGTTTTTTATTTTTTTATTTCAGTTAATGTCAATTGTTTATTTTATTATTGATATTTTTTAAAAAATTTAAATTAATTTAATTTTTTAAATAAAAAAATCTGACTTCCCTTCATAATAATAAAATAGAGACATCATAAATTCATTCCTCTTATCAAACAAGGAATTGGATTGGCAATCTAAAGAAATCCCTACTTTCTAGCCTATCTAACACGTGTTTTGTATGCAAGATAAAGTAAAGATAAGATAAAATTATCTTACCTTACCTTACGTTCAATACATATGATAAAAAATTAGGATAAAGAGAATGATAGAGTTATACATTCCGATAGATTGGAATACTGTATCTTAGGGGGATTTGATAATTTTATCAGACTTCCATTTTTTTTTACTAAAATACCCCACTATTTGGATAGAAAAGGATCAAAATATACCCAACCATAACGGTTCGACGAGTACTCCAGCCACACTCTATTGACGCGGCCACATTTCAGCCATATTTTGGCCACACTTCAGTCACATTCTGGCGATCGCCAGCCACATTCGGCCACACTAGCCACACTCTAGCCATAATCTGGCCAAAGTGCTCCTCAATTCCTTACTTTTCCCAAATCATTGACCTACCTGTCAATAGTCCTCTCATTACCCATTATTTTGTAGATCTGGACGCTAGAAATCAGTTGAGGATGAAGAAGAAATGCAGGTGTACATTGCTTCTAAGTAGGGATAGTTTGGTAAAATAAATAATCTTTTTATTTTTCCATTTTTGGCCTAGTACCGTTTAGTTAGGATAGATTTATCTGTACAATAATTTGTCCAACCATGTTCTATATGCAAGCCGAGCTTGTCTTCAGATTACAACATGTGTTTCCACTTTGGATATATTCAAATACAATCAACCTGCTTAGTTTTGGGGAATAACTTATTTTAATTTGAGTTGGGCTTAAGTAGTTTTATTTGAATTTAATCAAATTAATTCAATTATAAAAATAAATTAGATTACACTAGTTAAGACAGTAAACAGGTTGGATTTGGATTAAATTATGCATATTTGAATCCGAATCTGATTAACCATTCTTATATTCAAATTCGATCTAAAATCATATAAAACCTATATTTGTTAAATTGTCTTCGAATTTAATGAATAATCCAAAATCTAATAAAAAATTTAATTTGATAAAAAAATAATACTTTTTAACATTTAAGTCTATTAACTCTATTTCATCAATTATATTAGTTCCTGAATTTTTAAATTTTTTCAATTTAATTCATACAATTTTAAAATTTATTAATATTATATTATAAAAAATTACCAATTTAATTAAAAATTATTATTAAAATTTAGATTTGGATTCTTAATGAATTAGGTTTTTAAATTCTATGTTTAATCTATTTATTTTGAATTATTGATATTTATAGTCAAATCTAATTATTAGATATTTTAATTAAATTTAAATTCTAAATGTTGTATTAAATTGAGTTAAACTTGGATAAAAATCCAATTCATCGATGACTCAGTCTCTAGTTATCATGAGTAAGGAGGTGGATGCTTTGTACGCTTGTGGCACAGGGAAAAAAGACGCCTATAGAGAGATGCTATGCATCTCTTCTTTCCCCTCGTCACCTTATACTAAATCAACTTTTGTTCATTTATGAACGTTTCACTGTTCTAATTTAATTTCTATGTATTAATCCCAGTTATGTATAATATTTTTATAATTAATCCTAAGGAAGCAAATGTAAGTATCAAAATTAATATAATATGATATTTAAGTCAAACAATACAACACTTCTAAGGTTCACGTTAAAGTTCTCGCTCACCAAGCAAAGGTTTTGTTGTCGGTGTTTGCGTTTTTGTCTGTTGTTTACTAGTCAAGCAGGGAATACTTGACGGATGCTTCCTTGCCATCAAAGCAGTGACGTCAACCACGTCTTAATCATCTTTCAAATATTCTTGGCACCAAATTGAGCGTACAGGAATATCCGGTTGCGCACAGATTGGGAATTCTCCATTCCTGTAACATTTTAATTTTCCGTAACGTCTTGAAATTTCATTTAAATATTTTGAATTAAAATACTTCTTTTATCAACCATTATATTGTGATCTAATGATCCCAAGTGCGTTCTGTGTCATCTTATAATATTTCTATTCCTCAAATTTTATATTAAAATAAATAACAATTTCATGGCGTCTAGATTTCTTTATCATATTTCACGAAGATATTATTAAATCCCGATTTCACCGCCAAACAGAGTTCTATATATTCTGTCCATTATTATATGATAACAAAGAATAAACAAATTATACAAATACAAATCATGCACTGATATTATATGTGTTGTATTACCACGAAAGAGAGAGAAAAGTCAATATTTTTGGTAAATGAAAATCAGCCATCTAATTTTAATATTCTTCACACTTTTTAAAGATAAAATAGAGAAAAGTAAAAGACTATTGGTTGCGTGCTGATCATGTATTGACTGGTCAATACATCGTCTCGTCCTGATCTATAAGAGCAAATTAACTCATAGCTTCGTATTCATCCTTCAGATATAGCTCTAGAAGCTTGTACATTGCAGAGCTGAGAAAACCAACAGAAGAAATCAAAAAGATGAAAACAGCAGAGCTGGTATTTATCCCTTTCCCCGAAGCCGGCCACATTTTTTCGTCGGTGGAGATGGCAAAGCTCCTTGCCGGCCGAGACCAACGCCTCTCCATCACCGTCCTCATCATGCACCTTCCCTTCGAGACCAAATTCTTCAAACCGGACACGTCAAACCCCCAAAGGATCCGTTTCGTCGATATCCCCCTTGACGAATCTGTCATGGAAAGCATCTCCAAGGAACGCCCCCACTACATCGCCGACGCTGTCGACTTCTTCGGGCTCCAGAAGCCCCAAGTTAGAAACGCCGTGTCACAATTAATATCCGAGTCTTCTGAAGCAAGTCAGCTTGCCGGGTTCGTGATCGACATGTTCACCACCTCCATGATGGAAGTGGCCGACGAATTTGGTGCTCCGACTTACGCCTTCTTGACCAGCGGCGCTGGCATTCTTGGTCTCGTCTTCCATCTCTACACTCTTCAGGAGGATTTCGGTAAAGATTTGGACGAATATAAGGACTCAGACACTGAGTTGTCGGTTCCTGCTTTCTCCAAACCGGTGCCCGCTAAGGTCCTGCCCGCGGTGGTGTTCGACAAGGAAACCGGCGGGTTGGCCATGATGAATAATTTTGCGAGTAAGTTCAAGAAAACTAAAGGAATCCTGATCAACACGTTCGAAGAGCTAGAATCTCATGCGGTCAAATCTCTCCTCCAAGACCACACAGTTCCAACTGTTTATCCGGTGGGGCCCATCGTCAACCTCGACAACAAAAAATCAGAAGAGGCAATAATGACCTGGTTGGATGATCAACCAGCGTCGTCAGTGGTGTTCCTGTGCTTCGGTAGCAAGAGTAGCTTCAAGGAGGATCAGTCGAAGGAGATTGCCTATGCGCTGGAACGCGCTGGCCACCGGTTCTTGTGGTCCATAAGGACATCGCCAGCAAAGGGCAAATCGGGGGTGCCAGGTGAGTGCGAAAACCCGAAGGAATTCCTCCCAGAAGGGTTCCTGGAACGAACGGCTGACATTGGGAAGGTGATAGGGTGGGCCCCACAGGTGGCGGTACTATCACACCCTGCCGTGGGGGGTTTCGTGTCGCACTGTGGATGGAACTCAACGCTAGAGAGCCTTTGGTTCGGAGTGCCAACTGCGACTTGGCCGTTATACGCGGAGCAGCAAATAAATGCGTTCCTGATGGCGAGGGATTTTGGATTGGCGGTGGAGATTAAGCTCGACTATAAGCAGGAATCTTTCCCGGGAGATGGGCCTCCCGTGCTAGTGACGGCAGAGGAGATAGAGAATGGAATAAGGCGACTGATGGAGGGAGATGAGACTGTTGAAATTAGGGAGAGAGTGAAGAAAATGAGCGAGAAGAGCAGGAGCACTTTGAAGGAGGATGGATCATCTCACGCATACCTGGGCCAGTTTATCAAGGCGGTGGTTGACAACGTTTCTTAAAATGTCAGAATCGATTGGAAAACCTTAAAAGTTGTTTTTGACCGCTGGAATTACAATAATAAGGTTGCTGGTTTGTCATCCAACCGTTTATTTTTTAGGTGAATGTCCGCTTTGTGTAAGCCGAGTTTGGGGTAAATTCGTAATATTTCCGTTTCAGAAAGTAAATAAAATAAGTTAAGAGATCAAAGAGCGGCGCATGAATACGAAACCTAACGCAATTGAATGCATTTTGTAACAAAGTACATCACGTGTTTGACAAAAGCTCTTGTCTGCGGGTGGTTGGTTGGAACGTATTTCATCCAAAGATTTTGGTTTCAGTGACGTGTATCAAAATACTATCACTGAGGGACTTTTATTCTCGTTACGAGATTTTGACTAATTTAAATCAGATTAGTCGAATTATATTATTTAATAATATGCAAGATGAATGCTGACAATGCTAGTTGAATTGTACGTAAATTACTCCAGACCTCCTTAACTAGATAAGTAGTGATAAGTTCCCTTCTAGAATTACATTTCTCGAACAGTCGACCCATTTAACAAACCAAAAGCATCATATTACAGCTTTTCTTTACCAAATCGTTGAAACTGCAAAGGAAAATAATCAATTGATCTGCACGTGATTAAATGTATTCTTTGAATTTGATATCTCCTTAGACTGCTGAAAAGTAATACTTAACCTCTTTAAACTCAAAACTAATTTCTTCTAAAAAACAGCCTTCGTGCTATGACGATGTCCACTTTCACCAAGAGATGGTTTACTTGAATATCTTTTTTATAATTCATTTGATTCAAAACCCAAAAACTCCAAAAAATCAAAATTGTAGATTTTTAGTTCATTCAAAAAATTTCAATAAACCGGACACCTCCTTAATTGCTTTCCTTATAATAAGAGTTATATTTTTTTAAGACTTTAATTATTCAATAAATCAAATAAATATAGAAATTATATCAAACAATTGAAACTCAAAATTTAATATATAATAAATCCTAGCTACAAATTTAAAAATAATCCCAATAAATCACATTTTTGGCTATAATCGACTCACTGAAATTTTTAGCAATCAAGCGGTCCACACAATCTTCATCAAGGACTGGAAAAAAGGTCCATGAGTTATAGAATCAGCTGCCATGTCCAATCCATCCATCAGCCGGTCGTGTGATCATCGTGGTACTTTGACATCAGATTGAAGATCATAGCCGTTGGTCCTGGGTCATTGCAATCCTATTTTAATTAGAATTTGGATTATTATAGGCATCTATATTTTTCCCTAAACACAACAATTTTCAAGATGGAGGTGAGTTATTTCAGATAAGATCGAGTAACTGATAAACGAAATTAATTAAACACTTAATGCTTGAAATAGAATTAAATATATCTTCAGTCGTTCGTTGATATTGAAACACTGAGAATTTGAATTTGAGAACAAAAACTCGTAATTCTCGTGAATAAACGTGAAGCCTGCAAAGACCTTTCTGAGCTCATGACGTGTCGTTGTGTACGTCTTTATTGAGTTGAGGGATCTTTTAAACATATTTATAGACATGTTTTCCACAAAATATGATGACTTTGAGTGTGGTTATGGGATAAACACGATATTTAAAGTAGATGATGAAATAAATATTTTATTTCAGATAATCTAAAAAAATGGATAATTATGATATTTAATGATAATTTCTAAATGTAAATCCATAGCTCAAAAATAACGAGAGTTTCACAGGCAAATTTAGCATAATCAAGAGCAGCGCTATTTTGACTGTTCAATGATCTTTTTGTTTACATAATTTTTGAAAATATTAATTTTAAAAAATAATGATTTTCTCCTTTTTTCGTATAAATGGATTTTTTTACTATTATACTTTCTTTTTATTTTTTTAAGGACTATCCAATTTTCCGGGAAAAAAATTGGACTTTACTTTCATTAAAAAAAAAAGGCCAAAATCAACCACTGAGTAAATGAATCACTTCCTCCGGTTCAATCCCTTTTGGCTCAACTTGTTGGATTTCTGGCCATCCAAACGGTCGCACCGGAACCAGAGGAGGGGAACATATAATTCCTTGAATCAGTGAAAAAGGCAGAAAGGCCTGATTGTTTGGCGATCTCCATCCACGGAATTTTGCATGATCTTTGTGGCATTTCGAACGGATACTGCAAGTCCCCGGCTCCCGCATTAGATTTTCGCGGCGCATCCCCGACGCTAGGCGTGGACTTCTTGAGCGTCGGAGCTGGTGTTGGAGTTGGAGTTGGGTCGAGAGTAACATTAGTACCCTCTTCTCCTCCTAACAACGATTTCACCATTCTCTCCATCTCTTGATCCATATAGTAGTCGCAGCACTTTGTACACATATTTAGAGTCGCCGACGATCCCATCAAACAACAGCCGTCGGTGGCGCAAGTAGTGAGGGACTCGGCGGGATAGCACACAGGGCAGATCATCTGCTTCTTCTATGTAAATCTAATAGTTGGAGTAGGGATTTAAAAAATTCAATAATCCTTGAAAACTGCTGACTGTATTAACTTTGGAAACTAGCAATAATCAAGATATAAAGAATATTTAGCCTGCCCTTGAACGAAATTCACAAGTTTCTATTTAATATATATGATTTTATTAAATTTATTTTTGGGCAAAAGACACTTTAATTCCTTAATTACTATCACCAGACTCGAGGTATCACTTCGACTCCCTAACTTTAAGATACTATACCACACCCCTTACAATACAAAAGCCATCAATTAAGTCAAGAATTGGAAGTATGTTAGCTAAGAGGTGTATGACAAATTCAAGCTTATGAGCTTCCAAATTTCTATGGCCCAACATCTGATTAGCTTAACTGGAGATTTTGAAACCTGTTTAGCACAATAACTCACAAGTAGAGGTGATCACGTTTTAATTTTTTTTTAATCTTTTCATAAAATTATGCTATATCAATTTTTTTTTATTTTTTTAGTATTAAAACGAAAATCATACTTATTTAATTTGAATACCATTATTTTGATTTCATTCTATTCCAGTACGGTTCGACACTTTTTTTATTTTATTTTTTTACCCATATTAAAGTAATTAAGTAAACAAATAGATTTTTCTTAAAATTACACAAAGAGACTCTTTTAATTAACAACATTTTTATTTCTACGACTACTTTAGATTACTATAAAAAGAAGTTTTAAGTTCCATCAAGATTAAATCAAAACTAATTTAGTAATTCAATCATATTATAAGTAAACACTATTTTAAATAATTAACTAAAGATTGTTACAAAGATAACATTAGAAATAACTAATAAAATTGTATAGATTCACTGTCAAAAAAATGGAATTAGTGACCACAAATTAGTGACCGACAAAATGGGTCACTAAGCAATTAATAATTAGTGACCCATTAGTGATCAACTTACTCTATTTTTTATTTTTAAATATACTAACCGACTTGTGGCCCCAATTAATGTGGCTATTGTCACGCCCCAACCTTTCAAATCTTTAGGGGCACGACAGCGGGGTAATAATCAACACACCGCTGAGTAAGATTTAGCAGCATGCCGGTTACTGTAATCCCTCTTAAGTTGGCTTTAAAGCCCTTTGTCTAAGTACCTGCTTAATTTAACAATTTCACAACATATACATAACTTGCAATAACTCATCCAACCCATAACTTAAGTATAATTCATCCTATATCAACATTTTCAATAATCATCTAACATCATGTCATGGTCAAAATCATCACATATACTTAACTAACAGTAATTCATCCATAAGACCTCAATATCACAAATTATTTACAATTATCCAAAATATAAAAGGTCTCCTAAACATAATAATCCCAAATTTATAAAAACATAATCAAAACAATCCTTATAGCCTGACCCAACCTGGTGTTATAAAGGGAGTAAAACACAAGCAATATGAACATTGATGTTCTAACTTAATATCTCAGCATTTGCAGGGGAAAAAATTAGTGGGGTGAGACAAACGTCTCAGTGAACGATAATCCATCTAATCCAAGTGAAAACAGTTAGTTTTTGTATTTATTTAAACAATATAATCAGTTTCGTAAAGTTTCATATCAAGAGGCATTACCATAAATTTTCAGCAGTATAAAAACTCAATTGCTATTATGCCAAGTCATAATACATGAGAGAGCATGAGCATAATTATAAGAGACTTCATAGGCATCATAGAAAATTATAAAAAATTATAATATATGTGTTCACATGTATACTCTGGTCGGATGTGCACAACCGAGGTGTTTGGGGGTAGTAAAATCATAAACATAACATGGGCCCCCGTTGAGCAAAACATAAATATGTCAAGCGCTACTACACTGTGTAGCCCGTGCTAGGGATCGCCACTCTCCGGCCAAACTAACACAGTCTTTGGCGCATGGTCCTTTTCACGAGGAAAATAAATATACATATATCATGTAATACAAGTAGAACCGCCATCTGCCCTAGATGGCTGCCTGATATCATGGTTTAGGTGCTAAGGCACCAAAATAATATAAACTCATTAAAATCATCAAATTGAGCATATAACCAAAATCAAATTATAGCTAGACTGTTTCCCATATTCATATTAGTAACATACAATTGGGTTTAAGATGATCATTGTTCATTTCAATCATAGTTTGGAAAAATAACTAGGATTAGGAAGATTCCCACTCACCATATAAAATGAGTCTATAAGGATACTCCTACAGCTGTAGGTCCGGGATCTGAAATAACTGGGGTATCCTCTTCTACAAGTAGGATACACGTTCATGAGAAAAAACTCTAAATACGTCATATGAAAGCAATAACTACACCCTACAACGTATAAATACAACTTTTCCTCCCTCTCTAACTTTTGGGTTTCATTTAAAAATGTCCATAATCTCTCTCTACTTTTGGATTCCATCCAAACATACCTTTATCCCGTTTCTCCCTATTTCAACTCCAACCAAACATGCCCTTAACCCATTTCAATATCATCTCACCCATTTCTCTCACATTTCAGTCATAATCA